CCCACGGACTCCGGCGCCGTGCACAGGAAGTCCCGCCTCCTACCCGCGGGGCACACCGGGACGGCCGCCGCGGCCCGCAGGGACCATAGAGAGGCGAAGTGCGACGTGCTGCCCCCGCGCGGCCATCCTGGGAACCGCCTAGTCGCGCTCTGGAGGGCCGCCCGGTGCAGGTGCCACTGTGAGGCAGGTACCCAGCTTCGGGCGGTCGCCTGTCCTCTGTGCTTTTCTATCTTGTTAACGGTCTTGGGGTTTCGTCCAGCAGCCAGTGAAAAACTCATCCGGCCGGCCTCAAGGGCTCAGTACTGCCCAAGCCGGATGGGTGTCAAACAGCTGGCCCAGACAGCCCCGCCAGGAGACAGGGTGGCCATCAGAGACCACCCCGCAGGTTGTCTGTGCACAGCTTTGGGAGGCTTCAGGGTGCTCTGGCCGAAAGAGCTGCCCGGGCCCAACCCTGGGGAGGTATTCCTTCCAGGGCTCACTCCTGGGGCCCAGGGCTGGCACTTCCTGCTGTCTTGCCGTGGCTGCCCAGCGCCTATCTCGTTCTTGGCGCCATGCCGGGCACCTCATGCGTGGCCCGAGTCAGGTGGAGGGAGAAAGTCGTGTCCCCACGGATCAGGTTTTGACCACAAACTCTTTGGACACATACGCCAAGACAGCAGCACGGCATCCTCCCCCAGCGCCCAGGGCGCACAGCACCACTGTGGGAGGGCGCAGGAGCCGGGGGTCCGGCAGGTCTGCGGTGGGAGGCGCCCTCCCTGCTGCCCTTGTCCTGCCTTTCCAGATCCCACCTGGCTCTTGCCCACCAGTCAGCCCCATCCGAGGTCAGCTCTACAAACCCCCAGATACCGCTTTCCCACTCGACAGGAGCACCGGGTGGGCAGGCGGGCATGCGGGAGTTGAAGACCATGCTCAGTGGCAGCCTTGGGACAGCTCTAGCCTCTACCTGTGGCTGAGGTCAGAGGGCCTAGTTGTTTCAACATGTGCTCTCAAGGCATGAGCTGGTGCTCAATCCCATCTGTGTCAGTGGAGGGGCTGCTCCTGAGGGCCTGTGTGCTAGTCACTGCGTCAGGCCCAGGCAGCAGTGGTTGCCTGCTCAGGCCTTGGCCTGGAGCCCCGATCTGCAGGACGAGTCACCAGCTCTGAGCACAGCAGATGCATGGCCCATGCCGAGGACACAGCTGTGCCGAGCAGACAACAGTAGAGGCAGGACGAAATGGCAGCGTGTATGAACGTCGGGGTTTACTAACAGAGAAGGCTGTTAACACGAACAGGAGGGGAGCTAGTAAGCAGCACCCACAGGGAAAGACCGCAGGCCTGCAGTGTGCCAGGCCCCGCTTGGGAGAGGGCTAGGAAGACAGTGGGAGGGCAGGCCCCTGCCCCCAAGGCCCTGCAGGTCCCCAAAGGTCTCGACTCCTGAGCCTCCTTGGGCAGAGTGCCTCCTGGAATGACAGCCTAGCCAGTGTCCCATTTGAACACTCCCAGAGGGCAAGGCGGCAGCACAGGTGGAATGTCTGGGAACTTGGTCCCCGGGGGCCCCACCAGTGGCTCCTCACTCAGGCTGCCGCTTACAGGAGCCGTCCAGGCAAGCTTGCGGGCGTGAGCTGTGAGCCAGGGGCAACTGGTGCCCTCACCTGGCACTCTGCCCGCTCAGGAAACCTGGAGCAGCCAGCTGGCATAGCTCACTGGGGCCGTTCCAGGGCGGGAACAGAACACGCCATTTCCACGTCTAGTCATTTTAAAAAGTCACTTGCTTATGCAAAAATGTCTTCCAATAGATTATCAGCATCTATCAACAGTCGTCTGAACTGTGGGACGCCGCCGGAGGAGCCCCTCAGGGCAGGTGGCCAGCTCCCACTGTTCCGGGTCAGGAGTCAACACCTCGCTCTCGACCTTCACCCGGGTGAAGGCCACGCTGGCACGGCACGTGTCCGGATGAAGCGCGGGTGAGCCGACGTGGAGCTGTGGGCCGGGAGCACCCTGGTGGTGCTCAGGAGCCCTCCTCCTCCTCTTTAACTTCGGAAATTCTGTCTACAGACTTGAGGATCTCGGCGACCAGGTTCAAGGTCTCGGCTCCGGAAACCAGCTGCCTGAAATGGACACAGCTGGCAGGACAGCGACTGCACCTGCCACAGCAGCAGGCCCGCGAAAGCAGAGGAACCCCGCGGCAACGGCCATGGCCCAGGAGCCCGAGCAGCACTGAGGACACGGAGCAGGGGCCAGGGACCTGCTGTGGTGTGGCTGGCACTGCCGCCTGGCATCCCGCCAGCCTGCGAGGGAGCAGGGGCTGCCGCCTCCCAGGGTCCTCCCCGTGCCAGGCCCTGTGCTCAGGGCTCCCAAGCATCGTGCTGCCCTTTCTGACTGGGCGAGGAACTACGGAGTCACATGGGCGGGGAGCTGGGGCTTGGAGCCCTGTGGCCCTGTGCTCAGTGCCCCGGGTGGGGACGGCCACCGCCAGCGGGGGAAAAGCCCGCCGTCTGTCCACATGGCTCTCCCCCACTGGAGCACTATCTGGCCTGGCAGCTCATCCTGGGCCACAGCACCTGTGCCAGCTTGGCCTGGCCCCCAGGAACTTACTTTATGGAAGCATGTGCGCTGTTCATGACCACACGGAGGTTCTGCAAGGCTACGTCCGTGTTCTGCTTCACCACCGCCAGGCTGGCGCCCTGGCCGGAGCGCAGGGCCTCATTCTCACGCTTGATGCTAGAGAGCTGTGCCTGAAGGATGGCCGAGGCCCGTCAAGGACTCTCAGGGCTGACCAGAGCGTCCCTGCGAGGCCACCCAACCCAAAGTGGACACGACGCCCTGGCAGAGACCTCCGCCACCCCGTGGAGGACAGGGTAACCCTCCCCTCGGCATGGGACCAGCAACACATCCCACCCCATGGCAGACTTGCCACCCGCCCTAAGTCCTGCGGTGCCCGGGCACAGGGCGAGCCCTGAAAGGGTCCCCCACCTCTGCCCTGTGCTGAGGTCTCTGTGACCCCCCCAGGATCAGGAGGGAACAGCTAAGTCCCCTCCTCCAGTTACCTGGAGCAAACTTATCTCCTGTTTCAGTTTCGTGACATGACTTTCTGCCTTTACGGCCCGTTTCTGTTACAGGAAGGTAAATGGGACAGTTACTGCTGTGTGACACGGATGCAGAGTGCCTGCCTGCCCGCCCGCCCGGTGCCGTGTCGCTGTCGGCCCTTGAGGGCCTGCCCACAGAGCCCGTGCTGCGGCCATCTGCTCACAGCGGCCCCCAGAGTAGAGCCCCACCCACTGTCCCGGGGCGTCCCCACCCTGCCCGGCCACCTCGGAGGGGCCCACATACAGTCATCAGGTCGAGGTTCT